CCCTCAAAATTCTGTAAGAGAAAAGAAAGTCAGTGGCGCATGTGTTATTTTATAAAAATATTCCAGTGATAACCTATATGCATGTCCCTAGTGAATCTGACGACACTTTCTAAGCATTAAAATATGAAATAATAACTAATGTAATAATATGTAGTAACTTTTACCCTAAAAACTTCGTTCAAATCGCTAAAAGCACTGGAAAAAAAATTAAAATAAATCGAAATAAAAAGGAAAACTTGCCCCTGTAGTTATAAAACAGCAGAATCGGACCTACATTGATATAAAAAGTAATTCTTAATTTTACGCGGGGAATCTCCCCACGAGAAATGGCAGATGTTTTTTGAAACACTCTGTATATGCTTTTATTGACTAAATTCTTTATAAGCACCAATATTTTTCAATTGCTCCAGATATCTTGTATAACATATACATACTACATACATACTGCCATTACTCGCTAACGAGTATTCGACACACATCAGAAGATGGTCACTCAAGGCGTTTTCTTTCATGAGCTTTTCCGTGACTGAAAAGCCCGCGATACGTGATGTTATTTGCCTACCGCACTCCGGACATTCAAAAATCTCATCGCTTTTTTGCTTTGGTTGTCGCTATTAACTGAGTTCACAATTCTTCTCCATTGAGTTCTATTGAGAACTGGTTCTTCCCACTAATTCTGCATGTTAATCACCTTTAAGTTTTCGTGGAAAATGTCCTTGTACCTTTTGAGTTGTCCACCCGGCCTTCTCTTACCGTCTACAAGCTCACCATAAAGCAGATATTTTGGTATGCGATTTTCTTGCATTGTGCATACGTGACCAGCCCATCTTAAGCGAGATTTTGTAACCATGACTTCAATACTCTCGCAGTTAGCTTTTTCAAGGACCGATACGTTTGAGACATGATTCCGGATTCTTAAGAGTTGTCTAAGGTATCTGTGTTGTTAACATAATAACATATAATATCATATAATCAAAAGCTAACTCAATCATATCATGACTTTATCGATCAGGTTATCGATGCATAAATGAGGAAATGAATAAATTATCTAAATGTATTCCCAAATGTATTGATTATCATTTTTCACGTTGTTGATTGCCGTTTTTCATACACTATGTTGCAGGATTTAAAGATAATTTTAAAAATTATTCTGATGACAATAAGATTTCTACCATTGTATAATCGATAAAGGCAAAAAAATCTAAATATTTGATTTCCGCTGCTCTAATCATTGGGATACAAAATAATGCATATATGTAGGTACTCACAGCTTCAATTTGAACAAAATACATTTTGTTTTGTTGCTTGGCTAGGACATTTGCTCTCATAGTTTATCAAAACCTTTAACGGCCTTACTCTATCAACGTCAACATTTTCACGTTATCTTTTCAACATGTCAATTCAAACTCAATAACAATGTGCTCATCATGCTTCAAACTGAATAACAATGTGCCCAATTTCAGTCGATATAATCGTAGAGATGCACCAGTCGAGCAACCAAAGAAATATATTAGTGTGTCAGTCTATATATGTTTGTTTGATATTAAATAGATGTAGTAATACTGTGTTAAAATGTAAATTTATAAGTTGTTTTTGTGACGTCCAAGGTTAAAATGTAAGTTTTAAATTTTTCTATTTTTTGATGTTTATTAGTGATGTATTTTACTTTATAGGAAAAGGTTTGATAAAGATCGAAGCGTTGACTTTGATAATATGTTTCACTTGAAAGAAAAAAAAAATAAACAAATTTTTATTACTGACCATAACCCCAGGAACCAATTTTCAAAAAAAATCGTTGAGATATTGATAATCATAGAAATTGTATTATTTTTTAGCATTAGTATTTCGGTTCTATTGAATAGTGATTTAAACTACAAAAATGTTGCATGACCCAGCCAGCCAGGGTGGGAAAACTGCCCCACATTGTGGCTATGCCCATGATATTATTAAATTCTTTTAAAACTGAGATAATATTTCAGCTCTTAATGCCAGCTCATATAATTGAATATCTCTCTAAATAAAACGACATTAATTGGAGATCTATATCACAAAAACAAGTTTGGAAGAAGCTTAAAACTGTTTGTTGTTTTACTTCTTTTAAAATATTCAATATCTCATAAATATTCAAATTTTTCTTGCACCGACTGAACAAATTCAGTTCGCATTTAATTAATGACTAACTAAATACTATTTTCTTTAACAATTACAGCTTTCTTATTTCTCGTGAGAATTTAATTAATAAAATAATGCCTGATATGTTCATTTAAATAAATCTCACATTTCAATTACGGTGTCGGCGAAGATATAGGCGGTTTCAATGCACAATTACATCATTATTATGTGTACTTACCGGTCTACTATATGCATTCATAATTAATAGAGTAAGAATTGCAATAAAAGAAGGTGAAAGGTTTCCTACCAGTGTAACAAGGCACAGCCATCGATATAGTATTGTATCGACTATGCGTCCGCTTTAATTTTTAGCAAGAAAGTAAAAGGAATATTGCAGCTGAATTGAGAAGGAAAATTATTTTTAGAATGAATGTTGTTAACAAGAATTTCAATCTATGAAAGAATAGTTTTGGCATTGATCGGTCAAATTTATATTTTATACAGTGTGTATCAAGTTCTTAAAAGTAAGTTATTTAATGGTGCTACACGTTTCATTCCAAATGTTGTGACGATAATTTTCCCTTTTAAAATTATAACCAAAGAGTAGGGCTGGATGATAAGACATCGAAAAGTAAAAAAGGAACGTTGTTTAGGATTCGATATCTACAGAGTTATTCACCTCATTCAACACGGAGTATTGTAGCCAAATGATTGGATTTTTAGAAATTGTGAGTGCTGAGATCGTTGGAGGACTACCAAAGCTACAATTTCAAATTATTTTCAGAAGGTGTGTCCTAAATAAAGAAAAATTATCAAAGTTGTATTTTTTAAATGGAACACCCTGTATATTATTACATTTTTAGTTTCGACGATTAAAATAAAGGTAAATTTGATTGGTTTACCGCCCTTTAATCTTACCGTTTTTTAAATAATTACGATTTTGTGAAAATGCAGTAACAATAATTTTAATGCTTTATTTCTCTAGGCGTATTTAAGTTGTTAAAACCAAATATTGTACTGAAGTTTTTCTATTTACTCAATTCTGTGTTGCAATAATAAAAATAATACTGCATTATACAGAGTGTCTAAAAATTTATATTAAATAATTATTAGCTTTAAACAATTACTATTAATTTAAATGAAACACCCTGTATGTTTTACGCCGAATCAGATGCACAATTTAATTATCCATCAAATTGAATTATGCCATTTACTTATAAAAAAAACTGCATTTTCTTATAAGTTAGAGCTTATTAATCAATATACCCATGGAATATTGACATTTTAGATATTTTTTTAAAGGAACAAATGTACAAAATGCTGTACATTTTGCTAAAACCAATAATATTACTAGCTCATTTGTTTACAAGAAGGAAACTATTTAAATCTTTGTAAAAGAGTATACTAATTAAATATAGCACCATTATTTCCGCCCAAATATAATAGTACGAGAGCTAGCAACGTCGGAAAAATAAGTATTTTAAGACGTCTGGCTCTTTGATATATCTATTACTATGCTCTCTAGAACAGCATACGGCCCGTCTGGCTGCCGATACCCGTTGCGTTCACTACTGCGCATCGAAAGAAGATCCTATATTTTTATTAGTCCTTTAAATTCTAGTACTGAATATTAATCGAACATGTCTCCATAGCGCAGTGCGTAGAGTTTCCGACCGCGAACCGAAGATTGAGAGTTCGAATCCGGGTCAGGTCAACGACTTTTTAATTTTATTTTCGTTTATATTCTGATAGTAAAGCATTAAATATTTATTTTTGAATCACCATAATTATTTTTTAATACTTTACTATCAGAATATAAACGAAAATAAAATAAAAAAGTCTTTGACCTGACCCGGATTCGAACTCAATCTTCGGTTCGCGGTCGGAAACTCTACGTACTGCGCTATGGAGACGTGTTCGATTTATATTTAATCCTAGAATTTATAGGACTAAATTAATAAAAATTATAGGATGTTCTTTCGATGCGCAGTTAGTAGTGAACGCAACGGGTATCGGGAGCCAGACGGACCGTATGCTGTTCCAGAGAGCATAGTAAAATATATATCAAAGAGCCAAATGTCTTAAAATACTTTTTCGAAAACGTTGCTAGCTCTTAGACTATAACTGCATACTTAATTCTGTTAGTTAATAAATTATTCCAAATAAACGTGGACTTGAATCAGAAATTAATAAAATAATAAGTTATGAATTTGAACGTCTCTATTTGTTATAAATAAGCATTCGTCAACAAATGAAATAAAAAATTGAATTGGGATGTCAGTATATGACATAAATTAGGATTGATTGACGTATTCAATTGTTTTCGGTCGCTTCCTGTTTCACCGGAAATGACTACAACTTTTGATTTTTAAATGGCATCCTCGGTATTTTTTTACTTTATTCGATAGAAAATAACACTCTGAATAGAATGACATATCATATGTCAACTTTTAACATTTTTGCATATACGGTTTATTTGAAATTATAACATGGGGTTTATAATGACAATTGACTTGAAATACCAAGTGTGTAGTATCAAATTATTCGTAAGAAAATGCTTTTTTTAAATATCCTAATGAGCCACCCTCGTTCCGTTTGAAAAAATTGAGATATGATTAAAAATACGATTTGGGCATCTTTTAATCAGCCAGGACAAGACACTAAAAACATTAGACGGTCAAATCTATTTTTCCAAGGCTCTTTGATTAAAAATTAGTATTTTTAACATAGCCATGGCACTCTAGATTGAAATTTAAAATACGATTTTTTATTAAGCGAGAATGTCAAAAGTTATTTATGATATAGCATATCATAAATATTATCATCGTATCATTTATGATATAGCATCATACGATGATAATACCTATTAACACAGTAACTGTTTTCAGGCACAACCCTTTGATGCCCAGCAACCTTCGTATTGGAGATGACGCAGCACTGGCGCAGTCTCATTTTAACTTCTCCGAACCAACAGTGTTCTTCTTCCACGCATTCTTCGAATCTTCTCAGGCTATTCCTGCTACATATATTAGAACAGGTATGTCATAAATATATTTAAAAATTATCTTTTACTACATAATTTACAAGTAATTCACTTTATTTAGTCCTCAAATACTGTATTAGATCGGCTATTGTAACGGCTTATTTTAGTTATCATAGATAGTAAAACATAGGAATAACATAATAATGCAATAACATAATAATTTATAAATTGAAATTAGAAAAAACAACTTTATTTGTTGAAATTTGTTTTCCTTACATGGTGCAATGCAATTTGTTAGAGTCTTGGTGAAAGTATGATCAATAGTAGCATTTTGGTTGTAAATACGAGGACAGAAAATTAAACAAATAAAATATTTTTTGCAACCTATGAACACTTACATTATTTAAATTGGATTGAACTGTATAAAAAATGTAATAAAGTCGATAAACTGCAGTGCAGTAGAGTACAGACCATCCACACAATGATTTCGATATCTTTGTTTTTATATACTCTATCATATAATCCGGTAATCATAATGTTGCAACATATTATCATCATCATTCTCAGCTTATTCAACCATTTCCAATTATGGTGTAGATACTCGTACTATAGTTGAGCCCATTGTTGTCTATTGTTGGCTATGCGGGCCCAAGTTATCGCTGTTAATTCCCTAATACCATGGTCCCATCTCAGGTTTGGCCTTCCTCTAGGTCTCTTAATTCCTTGTGGGTACCATGCTGTAATTTTTGTGGTTCATCTGTTGGCTGTCCTTCTTGCCAGGTTTCCTGCTCATTGCCACTTGAGGGATTTGATTCTGTGGATGACATACCTGGGTCTTTTATCGAATCCACTCTATTCTTTTACGGTCTTTCTTGGTTATTCCCAGTATATTTCGTTCGGTTTCGGTTTAATTTGATAAAGACAACCATTAGATAAAGTGGCATTCTAGATTTGAATATGATTGAGTTTCATCAATAAGTACTCCATGCGTACTTAGTTCTTCGGTTGATTTCTGGTAGTAGAGGTCCCGAGCGGTGAATAGTTGTCTAAATGTATGCATTCTTCTACTATTTCCAGTTTTGTGATATTTATTGAATTATGAATATCTTTTCTGTCTACTAGTTCGTTGTACATTACTTTAGTTTTTGTTAAATTCATTTTGAGACCTACTTTATTTCTGGCTGTATTTAGTTCGTTAAATTTGTGTTTGTAGTTCTTCATCAAATTAATCCTTTGTTGGTCCAATCCAGTTGACGGAAGACTTCTTCTACTGTTGCTGTAAATAGCTTTGAGGATATTGCGTCTCCCTGTCGTACTCCTTTGCCAGTTGGGAACTCTGGGGTTCTTTTATATATCATTACTCTTGCTTTTGCTTCTTTGTACATATTGGCGAGAGTTTCTGCGTAAGGCTTGTCAATATCCTGATTCGGTAGGGCTTCTATTAGTGCCTTAAGATATATTGAGTCGAAAGCACTGTGGCTAGTGGAAGTTCGTATTCTTTTGTTCGGCTGATAGTTTCTCTTAGCGTATGTATGTGATCAATCGTGCTGAAGTTGTCATCAATCGTTGTGATCAATCGTTGCCACATATATACGAACAAAATTGTTGTTTTTATTTTTTATTAACTTACATATTATAACAGAAATTACATATATCAGCTACAGTATATTATAATTTTACTTATTTCTATTTAGTACATAATACGCTTAGTAAACTTTCTTTATTTTCTTTCTAATTTTTTTTAATATTTACACATTTAGGCCATTTACGTATTAATAAATTGTTGTGTTTTAATCTCCTATCAATTATTTCAAATTAATCTCAGCATGAAATAAATAATAAAAATAACTAAATTGCCATATTTATTTCTTGTTAACATTCACAGCCGGTGCCTTTTAAATTGAGCAATTAAGTAAAAGCTTTCTTACCAATATGAAAACTTTCATGTAATGTTAACTTGTAGGAGGTATTTTTTATTTTATTTACATTTTAATAAAATTTGCAATATTTATATATTTTACAAGATATACATTTTTTTAATCACATTTGAGTAGTGTAGTGAATATCAAAAATAGCACAGCGAGCATGTTCATTATTTATTAAATTTGCTAAATCCAAATCAATTAGAAATTAAAAGACTACAGCTATTAATGTAACTCAACTGGGTTAAAGATTTATTTAGATAAAATTTGTATTATTTACTTAGAATTTTTTGTGATTTAAGTACTTAATACCCACAGTCTCACAGTCTATTCCAAATGCAATACTCTAGTAAACAACTTGCTCAGTTGGGTATTCTTTTAGAAACTTGTAACCAAATTTTGATAATAATGTTATATGGTATTGTATTATTGGTTAGCAGTAATTGCTTCTATACAAAGTATTTTATGAAATAATAATTATATACAGTATGTCCCCGAATTGTGAGGAAAGATTTGAGGAAAAATCTTTTTATTATTGACCTTTTAAGAAAAATGCATTCTTCATAAAAGATTTTGCTTGTTCTAAAATGGTTAATCATAACTTTTCCAAATTTCCATACCGTTTTAGAGAAAATTTAAAAAAACAACATGAAAATATAGTTGAATTTTTTAGTTCTAAAAAGTCCTAAAAATCAAAAGGCGTTTCTATGGTAATTTAATTTGTGTGAACGTGAACCATCGCTCACATAGCCTATCCAGCAAATTTGCTCGCGATCGAACGACATCAAGTTTTGACGTTTCTTACGTCACACAGCCATGGCACTCTAGATTGAAATTTAAAATACGATGTTTTTTAAGCAAATATGTCAAAAGTTGAGATATGATGTGTCATTCTATTCACAGTGTCATTTTTTATGACACTCTGACACTCTGAGGTGAGATTTATGTCATATATAACATACCAAATCTCGTTTTTTATCTAAAAAAAACTAGAAAAGGTATAGAGGTGCGCTACTTGTGAGACGGTATACGTAGTATTTAATTATAACCAATTAGTAGGTGGTATAATTGTTATAATCCGAAGTAATATAGTTCTTTTAAAAAATGTTATGTTAGTTTTCTAGGTCTCTTTTTCTGTATATTATAGAGATTTTAGAACATGATAAATCAACGATTGCAATTTTGACAATGCTTCTAGTCAACAGATTTATACGGAATTATTTTATATAAAATATACATAATCTTCGTTGTGGTAATAAATTCTTAAATAGACAAACTAAGCTGTATATATATATATATATATATATATATATATATATATATATATATATATATATATATATATATATATATATATATATATATATATATATATATATTATTAATTTCAAATTAATCATTAAAACTATAATGTAACACATTATGATAAATAATTTGTATGCAGTAGGTCGACACTTCAAAGCTTATTAAAATTCTAAATCTTGTTCAAGTTCTCATAATTAAATAAAGTTCAATCAGCTGAACCGTAATAATAACATTGCTATCTAAATGTTATTCCTTTGCATATTTCAACCGGAATTTTATATTTTTGGTTGGTTTGTTACTGTTAATTCAAAAGGTATATTTAAAGCAACATATTTAAAGCAACAATTTAAACTTAAGTAACTTTTGTAGTAGGTGCATTTCACTGGCTGTCTTAACCGAAGTGTACTATATTATAGGTAAGTTATACGTACTCATTGTCCGTACTCCGTACTCATACGGACTCGACGTTATTCAAAACCATGTATTAAAGCAAAGGTAGGAAAGCTAATTATTTTAATTTTAAATTGTACCTTTGTAGATAAATTTCAGTTTGATTGCACATGAGCAAATGAAATAAATAAGTATTCCTAGCTCCAATACAGAATTCAATCTGATATTGCCTCCAGGGTGCAATGATTTAAATCAACTTGATTTAAATCAAGATTTAAATCATGATTTAAATCAATGGAAAAAAGTCAAATTGTTTAAAAACTTATGATAAATCGAAAGATAACTGTAAAAATTATAAAAACTTTTCCTATAAAGCTATCAAAAAGTATTCCTATATTAAATATACCCTATATATCTATTCATCAGATAAGTGTAGTTAAGTTACACTTGCTGCTGTAACGTTTAAATACTTTAATAGATCGAAAAATATTTGTAAAAGATCTAACATATCACACATATCCCTAATGTCTATTAATCTATTAAAATGTTGGACCGATTTTTGAAGTTATTTCATGTGAATCCATTACACTTCTAAATGGCAGAGATTTATTTTGAAATTGTGAAGTGTCAGAAATGCGGTAATATTCGAATACATTTGATTCGCAAACTCCAGTGCAGGACTTGTTTCTTCTGATGTCAGGTTATATTTTTTCCCGAGAACTAATTAATGTCAAAAGATAAGCTGGAGTCAGGGTTGTATTTTACCATTTTTGAAACAGCTGAATGGTGATCAAGCTAACTTCCGCCTTCACCAATTTATCTTCTAGTTCATTCCAAATTTCTACCGATATTTTGCTCTGCAATAAGTACTTTGTACTTTGAACATTAGATGGGCCTAATTTTATTCTCGACTTAAGACATTTCACAATTCATTATCTTCATAGCAACATCATATTTCCAAAAAAAATCCCTTTGATCTAAAATTTAAGCGGCCGATTTTTTTTTTGGAAATAGGGGCATCGGCAAAGTTTACAGAATAAAATATATCGGTGACAGATGTAGAAAAACGACACCCGCCGTATAAATGTAAATATTGCCAATATCGGTCAGAGTTACAAAGATTTAGCCATTTAGAATAGGACTCTAAATAGAAAATAGTTTAAAATAAAAAAAAATCTGATTAAAATAAAAAAAATCGACTTTTTTTAAATCATGATTTTTTTGCACCCTGATTGCATTCAATTCATTAGAATATAAAAAAATATGGTCCATGCATCTGTGTATTTGGATGGCTATGGTTTCTTTCTTTATTGAATAAATACGAAAACATTTGATTTAAAGGTATTTAAAGTCTTTTTTTTACCATATTAGATGACTCTCGTGAATTATTTTGTCGAATTTCATTGATTTTTGATAATTTGAATATTTTTTTAAAAA